CTGGTCAACCAGAGGAATGTGGAAAGATCAAAGTCAGATGGCAATGGTTAAAAAAGAAAAAGGAAATAAAAGAAAAGTTCAAGATCAGAGACAGAAATTTTGGAACTAAAGATTTGAACATCGATAAATTACAGATGATGACAAATTTTAGCCACAGAAATTAGTTGCTGAGTGATTTTAAGGTCGCTGTGAAGTAAAAGGACAGGAAGTTCAACAGGTTGCTGACTTGAACTTTGAGGTCACTAAAGATGATAGCAAAAATTACATGCAATGAAACTGGTTGAGGAGAAATCAAACGGAAAAATCTTTGAAAAATGTGGAGGTGTAATGAAAAAGAAGTAGCAGTCAGAAATAGTGGGAAGAAACTGTCCTCACCAAGCATACCCAGATTATAAAGAAGTAGAGCTATAAGGGAAGATTTTGAAAGGAATGAAAAATAACTATGTGAAGTCAGAAGAATGATACTGTCTAAAACCATGGAGACTGTAGAAACAGGAGCCAGCTCCTCAAAGGCCTGACCACAAAACATATATAATTTAATTTAAAAAGTTATTTTTCTGCATGTGGGAACATGCAGACAGATGCTGGATTATACTAATTTATCGGCACTGTAGCCTTTCTTAAATTGCATATGATAGAACTAGATACACATTAAAAAAAAACTCTGTACTTAAGCACTGATTCTTCTTACTTTTCAACCCTTAAAAAATTTAGATTATAAAACACAGTATATGTTACATATAGTTCTTTTTTTCCCTCAGCATGAAGCCAATACACAGAAAGAAAAATGGCAATTCAAGATTCTTGAAGTCAAATACTATCAAGCACAAAGCTCAAAATATGGGCAATCAAATTATTCTGCCAATTCAGCAAGAATACAAAAACAACCTAAGAAGCATTCGCATTATCCATGAATACGAATGTCCAAGAATATGAATTTGGAAACATTCACAAAAGCATACACTATGATCAGAATCCAAGTTCAAAATGTTTCCTTTATCATTTCAAAGCACATGAAAATGAAAAAAAAGGAACTAATGACATCAAACAGCACTTAAAAGACAAAAATATCACAATTCATAGTTAGGTTATTTGTATCTAGACATTTTAGGTCTTTCAATATGTGTTCATCTGCATATTCCTAACAAACACCATGACTCCTTGAAGTAAATATCTATGCCATTGTCTTTTAAGGAAAGTACACAATCTGATCTTTCTGCTTTTTTCTGCAATGACATGCTCTTTGTCTGATATTCCATATTCTTCAGTAATGAAGTAGTTCTGTAATATAATATTCATCTGATAGTCCTACTGAGATTTCAAAAATGTAAAAAGCAGGAAAAAATAAGTAATTCAGAGGAAAAAAAGCCTCTACACTAGAAAGTGTATTTTCAAGTAGCAAATTTTAAAGCAGAAAATAAATTATGCTGGAAAAAGAAAAACAGAAGTAGGCACAGAACTGTTTTGAAAATGCAAAGGTTACATCTTTTGACCATATAAAATGGCTCAACAAGGCTACTTTTTAAACAATTTATTCTTTAAACCATAGTGTGTTTTATTTGTAAACCATAATCATTTTTATTTTTATATACACTTACAAATATACCCTGGAGTCACTTTTCAAAAATAATCAGTCCTAAGATACACAAAAAAGGAGTAAGCTGTATTACTAATGCCTTAAAGTAGCTTTGTGATTTTATTAAGAATTAAATATTCCTTATAGGTATTATTCAGTAAACATAAAAAATACACTTTTTTCCAAAATAATTTACAGTGTGTTTCCACATCACAGATTTACTGGACACTTGAATTTGCAGTGAAATATCTGTTACCCTTTCTTCTTTGATTAACCATTGCTCTAACTGCGACAGGCTGCATTAATTTTTAAGGCTTTTAAAGTGGAAATTACAATGCCTGCTGTGATAATTGTGATACTACCCTAACTGTGGCAATCACTTTAAAACACTTCTTTGCTTATCATTAGCAATGCTAAGTGATAAAAATAATTATATCAGGAGTATTCTGGGAAATGATTGTTAAATAATTTTCAATATTCTAAAAAACTCCATCTAGAAAACTCTCAACACCATGTCTGATGACATGGACCCTTCTAAATTTCCTCTAATTACATAAAATTCCCAGATGGTTCTAAATCAATCAATCCCCCCAACCACTCTTCTCTCTAGCTACCACCCTTATCTCCCTAATTGTCAGGCTCACCGCACCAGTTGCCAGACCAGGCTGACAACAGAATAATCAAGGTAGAGCAATTTCCTAGGATCAAATAAGTTCAGATTCAAGACTGAAAGCTTTAGAACTGCTTTACCTTGGGGCAACTAGTCACCCAGTATGTGTCAGATGGGTTAAATTGAAAAGCACTCCACAGGGACTGCAGTGATCACTTCCTCCATCTTCTGTATGTCCAAGAAAATCATACATAAAAGGTAAAGCATCATTTCCATGACAGTTCATCTGAAATAAGCATCTGTCACTCTTAAGTGCTGACAATTGATTTTATAAGTATAATTGCACTACATGTTTTCTTTTCGAAAGAAAGTTAACTTATCCAAATGATTATTTTTCTCAAATGTTCAAAGTTCTTGACAAGTGACAAATGACAAAGCAGAAATGATAAACAAAGACTGAACATGGGTAAAAATCAATCATGACTTTCCTGCTTATTATCTTAAAAACATCTGGGTTTAATTCAACCCAAAGATATAGTTGAGAACAACACAGGAGCATAAAATCCATTTAAAGTAACTGATTATACAAGAGAAAAGATTATATGAAATACATACATAGATCAGTGAAATGCTTTTTGTTGCTATCAAAAGGGCACAAAAGCAGAGTCTTAAAGAGGTTTGTGATCTGATAATACTGTTCAGTCAGTGAGACTGTCAATGTCAATCATTCAACTAAATCTATTATAGTTGCTGCCAGAAAATGGTCCAGTAGTACCATTGCCCTTTTAAATGCTTCTTTCTAACCAATTTCTAAGTTAAAATATATGAGCAAATGAGACTTAAAATATATGCATTGGGGGATGTAATGTTAAGATTTTTTGATTTTCTTCCATTTGAGTATTATAGAATAATTTCAACTTAAAGAACTAAAAACTAAACTGGAAGGGGGTGTGGATCTACTTTAAGGGACAACCGTGAAAAGCCAGAGAATATTAACCTATTCAAAAGGCTTTAAAAACATAAAAAACTAAGTTACTTTTTACCTTGAACTTGCCAAGACATAAAGACTCTTCTATCAAGGACATCTTGATAGATTATATGCATGGCATAGCACTCAAGTGTTTGTTTAAAGAGCAGATGAATGAATAGTTGGTCACAGCAAAAACCATTCTTTAGGAATATGGCTTTTATACCTTATTATTCTTGTCTGTCAGTTGATCAAGAGTTTCAGATTGTTTCTCCAATGCTCGCTCTACCTTCTTATGCTTAAGCTTCCACTGCCTAATGGCCTCCTGAGCTTTCAGTTTCAGCTCTTCTCTCCTCTTCTCTGCCTCCTGTCTCAGGGCCTCTGACTGCTGGAACTCCACGAGGTACTGCTCAGCCTGCTTGGTTGCATCCTCAGCATGATGAGTCAGTTCCGAGATCTGGAGGTCAGCACTCTGATGCTTGGCCTCACATGTCTCAAAGTGATTCTGGATCTCCTTAAGCTGATCCAACATCTGTAGCTGCTGTTTTTCTTTGTTCTCCAATTCACGTGTTAAATTCTAAGAATAAAGCATGTGAAATATTAGAAAAATACTGTCAAAACTGGATACATATCATCAAACAAGAATAATATCACTGAAATGGGACTCATCTGTTTTAAGTTTCATTAGCGATCAACCTAGAAAATATGAGTCCTTTTCCATATATTTCATAGTCACATTAGTTGGGAATAATTCTTTATAGAAATACTTCTTTTTTCAACTATTTCATTATCCAAAAAGGGAAAATATATATTTTCCAATTGACTGTCACTAAAAATAGAGGGTCTTATTGATGAGAAAACAATGTGCATTACTTTAGGTAAGACAACCAAAGACATGTCAATGTTTTAAAATTTGTCAGATTATCACAGCAATCACATGTAATATTTCACTTTCTGGTAGCATCTAAAGTTCTAATTGATTTTATAAGTATAATTGCACTACATGTTTTCTTTTCGAAAGAAAGTTAACTTATCCAAATGATTATTTTTCTCAAATGTTCAAAGTTCTTGACAAGTGACAAATGACAAAGCAGAAATGATAAACAAAGACTGAACATGGGTAAAAATCAATCATGACTTTCCTGCTTATTATCTTAAAAACATCTGGGTTTAATTCAACCCAAAGATATAGTTGAGAACAACACAGGAGCATAAAATCCATTTAAAGTAACTGATTATACAAGAGAAAAGATTATATGAAATACATACATAGATCAGTGAAATGCTTTTTGTTGCTATCAAAAGGGCACAAAAGCAGAGTCTTAAAGAGGTTTGTGATCTGATAATACTGTTCAGTCAGTGAGACTGTCAATGTCAATCATTCAACTAAATCTATTATAGTTGCTGCCAGAAAATGGTACAGTAGTACCATTGCCCTTTTAAATGCTTCTTTCTAACCAATTTCTAAGTTAAAATATATGAGCAAATGAGACTTAAAATATATGCATTGGGGGATGTAATGTTAAGATTTTTTGATTTTCTTCCATTTGAGTATTATAGAATAATTTCAACTTAAAGAACTAAAAACTAAACTGGAAGGGGGTGTGGATCTACTTTAAGGGACAACCGTGAAAAGCCAGAGAATATTAACCTATTCAAAAGGCTTTAAAAACATAAAAAACTAAGTTACTTTTTACCTTGAACTTGCCAAGACATAAAGACTCTTCTATCAAGGACATCTTGATAGATTATATGCATGGCATAGCACTCAAGTGTTTGTTTAAAGAGCAGATGAATGAATAGTTGGTCACAGCAAAAACCATTCTTTAGGAATATGGCTTTTATACCTTATTATTCTTGTCTGTCAGTTGATCAAGAGTTTCAGATTGTTTCTCCAATGCTCGCTCTACCTTCTTATGCTTAAGCTTCCACTGCCTAATGGCCTCCTGAGCTTTCAGTTTCAGCTCTTCTCTCCTCTTCTCTGCCTCCTGTCTCAGGGCCTCTGACTGCTGGAACTCCACGAGGTACTGCTCAGCCTGCTTGGTTGCATCCTCAGCATGATGAGTCAGTTCCGAGATCTGGAGGTCAGCACTCTGATGCTTGGCCTCACATGTCTCAAAGTGATTCTGGATCTCCTTAAGCTGATCCAACATCTGTAGCTGCTGTTTTTCTTTGTTCTCCAATTCACGTGTTAAATTCTAAGAATAAAGCATGTGAAATATTAGAAAAATACTGTCAAAACTGGATACATATCATCAAACAAGAATAATATCACTGAAATGGGACTCATCTGTTTTAAGTTTCATTAGCGATCAACCTAGAAAATATGAGTCCTTTTCCATATATTTCATAGTCACATTAGTTGGGAATAATTCTTTATAGAAATACTTCTTTTTTCAACTATTTCATTATCCAAAAAGGGAAAATATATATTTTCCAATTGACTGTCACTAAAAATAGAGGGTCTTATTGATGAGAAAACAATGTGCATTACTTTAGGTAAGACAACCAAAGACATGTCAATGTTTTAAAATTTGTCAGATTATCACAGCAATCACATGTAATATTTCACTTTCTGGTAGCATCTAAAGTTCCGTTACAATAAAATAAAAATCTGTAACAAAAAAATGATCATCAATGTTATAGAAACATCAGTACAGATAACACTATTTGAAAGACCATTTAAAAGGTTTTCAATAAAGCATTTATAGGTAGGTTATTTCCAACTAAATCAACATACTGTTATAAGTTGGTGAACTTATCTCAAGCTAATTAGATGAATCACTGCAGGATACAATTTTAAACAACCTTAAATTTATCTGGAATACTTATCTGATCAAGAAGAGAACCTGAACGCCTAAAATCTAGCTTCCCTAAAACAGAGTTGGTCAATAATATATTTGGAAGTTATACTAACTCATCATGATTCATACATATTTTTAATTTGAGAAGAATGGGTAAATTTGTATTTTTAACTTCAAAAATAAGAGAATATTGCTTTTAGATAATATTTTATATAAACAAAATAATGGAATAATCATTCACATTAAGCCATTCTTGTAAAACTTTGGAAGGGAGGGACAAATTCAGAAGTAAGTGCTTACAATAGGTTGCATAGGCCACTCCTCCTTAACCTCTGTTTCCAAATACATGAGGTAACATGAAAAGGTCATGTGTGAAGGAAGCTAAAATGGGACTGTGAGCCAGACAAACAATAAGTATCATCTACATTGTACTAGGCTACCTACAAATGGAGACTGGAAACATTTTCCAGCTCCCTCTAGTTCTAACAGCAGAATGTTCAGTTACAGATTCCATTATCCCTGCACTGTGGCTCAAATAAAGTTAAGTATAATTTCCCTCATGATTAAAGCAATCGCTTGACATTATAGTAAAAAAATATAAATAATCCCTTGAAAACAAGCTTCATTTTTCTAGGCAACAGGTATGCATTTGGTCAGTTTGCTAAATTCAGTGCAGCCTGGAAGAGATGAGTCATGTCTTCATCCACCCAAACAAAAGAGTAAATTGAGAACTGTGTACTTGTTTGGGTTGAAAATTCTAAAATGGGATCAGAGAACCCCAGTGATGGTGATTTACACTTTCACCCTTATCCAAAAGACTTACCACTACGCTAGAAATCAACTTTATTAACAAACAGCATTCAAGTGATCTCTACATCAACACAGAGGTTTCTTTCCCCCAACAAACACTTGGGAGAACGGTAGTACTTCCTATGTGTTAGGAACATAGTTTACAGAAAGGTTAACAAGACCTGGCTTCTGCACCAAAGAAGCTGATAATCTGAGGAGATATACTAACAGCTAGATTACAATAGTGGATATTGCTAGGTGCTAAAATGTGATGGATAATTACCTGAAGGGGTCTATATTCTACAGTGTGGCTTGGGAGGGTCTCTCTTAGGAGCTGATATTTGAGGTAAGATCTAAATAAGAAGAAGCTAGCAATAATAATTATTATTATTATATTTATTATGACTATATCTGAAGTTTATTGAGCACTTGAGTTGTGCAAGGGATTGAGCAACTGCTTTATATTGATTACCTCATTCAGTCTACTACAAAAGTAAATAAAGCAATAAACTAAATAAAGTAAGGCACTATTATTATGTCCATTTTAGTGATAGCTTACCAATGCCTGGAACTTGCCCAAGATCCTAGTAAGTGAGGGCATGGGATTCAGACCCAGAAAGTCTGACTCCACAGCCCATGTTTTCAACTCTTCACTAAACTTTCAGATTTGCAGTTGACCCTAACTCCATGCTTCTTCAGTCACCCACTCCCATAGCCCCATCTTTTTTTTTTTTGGCAGTACTATTTATTTTTATTAAAGTATAGTTTATATATACTCTTATATTGGTTTCAAGTGTACAACACAGTGGTTTAATAGTTACCCGCATTATTAAATCCTCACCCCAACTAGTGCAGTTACTATCTGTCAACATAGGAAGATGTTTCAGAATCATTGGCTGTATTCTCCAGGCTGTACTACCATCCCTGTGGCCTCTGGCTTTATCCATCCATCTGCCCAGTTCCTTCACTCCCTTTCTTCTGACACATCTGCTCTTCATTTTCAAGAAGATGACCTTTCCCTTGACATTCCTTTTGCTGGCTTTCAATCCAGGCTCCTTAACCTAACTTCCTTACTTTTCACTTTAGCCACTCTCTTGCTCACATCTCAAACTCTTTTTCAACCTGTCCATCTGCTGAACTTGAACAGCAAAACCACCAGTTCTGGGGAACTAAAGAATTTCCTATTTCCTACATCAGGTTATGAGTCCTACAGGGAAAATCACACAGGGGTATCAGTTGATATGATGGCACATTGAGAGCCAACTCCTTAGTGTCCAATTCTTTGGCATGACTCTACCCTAGCCACACAGTGGCCATTCCAAACTGTCCTTCTGTGGGTAAAATCGCAATGTTTCCAGAATCTCTCACCTCGCTTTAGGGCATCTCCATATCAACAGGTGTATCCAAGAGGTGGAGAGAAGCAGTCCATCTCTATCTATATCAATGGGTAGTTATATGGGCAAGCGAGGGCTTATCTGGACCAGAGAGGTTGGGGAGAGTATTCGCTCGCTTCTGGTGCAGCAGGAGAGAGACATGGGATGACTGCTTGTAAGCAATAAATGGATTTTAAACTTTATTTCTCCCTTTGACTGATTCCAGTTTCAAAGGTACTGTGCCCTGGGACTTCCCCTCCCTGCCATCACACCTGCCACTGAACCTATTATCTTTTCGCTCACTCCTAGTATGTGACATAGTTCCTCTTTGAGAAATGAAATTGAGGCTATTAGGCAGGACATGCCCAAAATTTCCTAAGTGTACCATTCTGAAACTTACCAATGACCGATCCCCCTCTCCAGCCGCTGAGAAAAAGGGATCTTTCTTTCTTAGACGACTTAGCCCATTTTTTGCTATTTCCTTCCACAACGAAGGGCTTCACTACATCAAGACAAGCCTACTCTTCAAGGTCTTGAACCTCATTTTCCCTACTGGATCATTCTTCTCCACTTTTCCCATCTTAAAAATCACAGTAACAACTATTTGAAATGAAATAAACAAAAAAACCTTTATCAATACAACATGATCTTCTAGCCAGCACCCTGCATTCTTCCTTTTAAGCCAAACTCCAGGGAAGAGCAGTCCATACTTGATGCCCCACAATCTTGTTTCCAATGCTCTTCTCAGTTCACTAGATCTTGTTTTCATCCTTACCATGCAATTAAAAGAGCTCTCATCAAGATCCACAATGATCACCTACTGACAAATACAACGGACTCTAAAGATCTTCCCTGGTTTCCTTGTAGCAGGTGATGTTTCAATTGCCTATTCTTCTTCCCTATTATAAAACTACTCTTCACTAGTTCTTCTTTTAGGTGCTGTTCTTTCATAATCTCCTTTCCTAAATCCCTTCTACTATTTCACTTTTAAATACACCATGTGGACAGGATTCTAGTAATAAGCATCATCCCATCTACAAAATATATTTGATAGGTACCTAAGTATGTACGTAGGCAGAGATGTAAGTGATTCCTAATTCAGAAGCCAGACTGATTTTCTACACTTGGTATAATGAGTTTCTACACTTGGTAATCCCACAAGCATCTTAATGTTACAGCATGTCAAAAAGTGAATTTATCCGATTCCCAACTCCTAACAAAAGACAGTTGTACTAAAATGGCAGTAAAGGCGCTCTCTGCTGAGGACAGAAATGGGGGTGGAACCATGTATTTATATAATGAGAAAGTCTGAAATAACTGCTATAGGAAAAGAGAAAATGAGCAAGAAATATGTGATTAAAAGGTGACAAACAGAAATAAGGTTATGATTAGTCTCAAACTTAAAATGGACCCAAAAGCATATAAAACTCTTTGACTTTCACCAGCAACTCTTTTGAACCCAGAGCATAATGTAAGTCCAGCAGTATTTATCCTTATCTAATTACAGAACAACAAGAATAGGCACAGGATTAATATGTGCAGCCCATAGCTTAGGCACATAAATTCCTTTGTTCTCACATTTAAAAATTACACATTCAGATTAACATGTTACACAGAATGATTCACTTAGAAGAATGCCGGACAACAAAATGGCACTGATTGGGTATCTAACTGTAAATGAACAGCAAAGGATATGATTCGTAATGTAAATAATTGTGGTCTCACTACTGATGGGACACTAGGCTTGAATTTCAATGGGATAAATACTGCCTCCAATTTCCCTGAGTCTGGGAATGGTTGCTACTGTCTCGTCCCCATTAGTCTGTCCGTATGATGCTTTAGGTTCAGCTTGTTACAGAATTCTTTCTTTCATAGTCATTCCTCAGCAGATCCTATTCACCCTTTATTTTGACATCTTCTTTAATCCATCTTCCTCAAGTAACCAATCAGAATAATCTAATTGTAATAACATCTCCCCCATTAGAAGATTGTATTACAAAACCCTCATAACAATTCTTTCCATACACACATTCTCACACATACATACACACATATATATACATAGAAAGCACACAAGTATACAAATACATCATTAATGTATGGATAAGGGCTTTCAGAGTAGATACATACAGTGAATATTAGTATCTTCCTTTGGACTACATGAAATGCTAAGTGAAAAGCAATTTTATTTATTCCATTATGATGATTTTCAATTCCATTATTACTACCATA